TCCACTCTGGATTTTTCTGTGAAGCTTTTCCCACACACAAAGCATAGATATGGTCTTTCTCCTGTATGATTTCTCTGCTGAATCATCAGCAAAGATTTACAATCAAAACTTTTTAAACAATGCAAGCATTCAAATGGTTCTTTCGCTAGTAGGTATCCTTTTATGCAGCTGCAGGTTTGCAAGTTGGCCAAGCATTCTGGGCATTAATGTTTATGCCGTTTCATATGTTTATCAAGGAAGAATTTTTTCCTAAAACCTTTGCCACAATCTGGACATTGATAAGGTTTATATCCAGTGTGGATTTTCTTATGCATTGCAAGAATTGAACTGAAGGTAAAAATTTTGTTGCAAAATGAACAGTGATAAGGTCTCTCGCCAGTATGAATCCTTCGGTGTTGTTTCAGGTATGAATTATTTCGGAATTTTTTTCCACAATCTGAACATGGATGTAATTTCCCTCCCACATGAGTTTTCTTGTGTCTGTGAAAATATTTTCTACAATTAAAACTCCTCCCACAGTCTGGGCATTTGTAGGGTTTCTCCCCTGTGTGACTCCCTGCGTGAAGGACAAGCTGCTCTTTGAATCTGAATCTATTTCCACATTTTGAGCACTTGAAAGGCATCTTGTCTCGGTGGATTCTTTCGTGTCTGTTCACATGTGCTCGGGTCTTGAACGTCTTCCCACAGTAAGTACACATGTGGGGCTTCTCCTCGGTGTGGGTGAGTTGGTGCTTGCGAAGTTCTGCGTTCCATATAAAACATTTCCCACACTCTGAGCATCGGTAGGGCTTCTCCCTGGCATGGATGCGTTGGTGCTTCCGAAGGTTTGTGTTCTATATAAAACATTTCCCACACTCCGAGCATCGGTAGGGGCTCTCCCCGGTGTGGATTTTCCGATGGGAAGATAGGTTTGATGAGTAACTGAAACTCTTCCCGCACTCTGAGCATCTGTAAGGCTTCTCTCCTGTATGGCAGCGCATATGCATGGCAAGGTAAGTGTTACTGGAGAAGGTTTTGCCACAGATTGAACATTCATCGGATCTCTTGTTAGACACGTCAGGAGCAGATCTGTCCTTCAGACTCTTATTCCCGAGATGCTTCCCTTGGATTTGACTTTTCTTGCTCGGAATGGCTTTTTCCTTTTGTTGCCTCCTGTCTCCTGGCCAAATCTCTGTGCTCTCCCCATCTTCCTTGCAAACCAAGGGAATCTTTTGAGATCCGGGCCATTTTGTTCGCTTCTGTTCCTCCAATGCCAAACTACCTGACTGAATGGATGTCTCTTCATTCTCACTCACTTGCCCAGGTCCTAAAGAAGTAAAACAGAAGTGAGATACAACAGCATAACCTCCTTTGCAGAAACTTCAGGAACAAGTTAATCATAATTAAGGGAGGGAAGTGTAAAAGCGTGTTCTAATTGACACCATGAGAAAGATCGGGCTAGATGAATCAGAAGTCGGAATTAAGATTCCCAGGAGAAATACAGTATCAACAACCTCAGATATGGAGATAATACCACTCTAATGGCAGAAAGTGAAGAGGAACTTAAGAGCCTCTTGATGTGGGTGAAGAAGGAGAGGGCAAAAGATGACTTGAAACCCCACCTTAAGAGAACTAGGATCCTGGCAATCAGATGGGGAAGAAATGGAGGTAGTGGCAGATTTTATTTTCTTGGACTCCAAGATCACCGCAGATGGGGACTGCAGCCAAGAAATTTTTTCCTGGGGAGGAAAGCTATGGCAAATCTAGACAGCATACTAAAAAGCAGAAACATCACCCTGACAACAAAAATGTGTGTAGTCAAGACTGTGGTTTTCCCAGTTGCAATGTATGGCTGTGAAAGTTGGACCATAAGGAAGGCTGAGCATCAAAGAATTGAGGCCTTTGAACTATGGTGCTGGAGAAGACTCCTGCGAGTCCCTTGAGCTACAAGGTCAGTCCTAGATGAGATCAACCTGCTGGCTGTGTGTCCGTTGTTGTTTCGTGTTGTAACGGCTTGGGTGGTGGGTGGGGCTCGTTTGTTGACTAGGGCTGGTTTCCAGATGTCTGGTAGGTGGGAGGTATCGTCACGTTTATTCATGTTGTGCGGGTGTTTCTCTATTTCGACAGCTTCCATAATTATTCTCTTGTACTGAACACTTCAACAAGAGAATAATTATGGAAGCTATCAAAATAGAGAAAATAGAGAAACACCCCCACAACATCTTTGGACAGTGCTGGTCTTCAACTTTGAAATTAAGATGAGCACCACCCCCTAGAGTCAGGAACAACTAGCACATATGTGCGAGGGGAACCTTTACTTTTACCTTAATTTTATTGCAGAGGCTTTGCTAAAGTTTTTATGTGCTCATCAGATTGTTGCCATTCCCTAAAAGCCAAAGAACATATCAATTGTGCAAAAAAAAAAAAAAAAAAACACCTGTCAAACTACTGGATCAAATTGCCTCACCTGTGCAGGATAGAAAAGGAATCTTTCTTTCTTGATCGGATTCCAATAGGATTTTCCCTTGCTGTAAACAGGAGATTAGATCTGGCTTTGAAGAAGAAAATCCTGTTTGAAGGAGGGAAGGACAGAGGAAGGCAAGAAACATGATGAAAAGGAACACATGGCTCCTATTTTTCTTTTGTATCCTTACAAGAAAAATATGGTACAGGTATTCCTCAACGTACGACCACCATTGAGCCCAAAATTTATGTTGCTAAGTGAGGAATTTGTTAACTGAGTTTTGTCCCATTTTACAACTTTTCTCGTCACATTTGTTAAGTGACTCGCTACAGTTCTTACATTAGTAACATGGCTGTTAAGTGAATCTGGCTTCCCCATTGACTTTGTTTGTCAGACGGTCACTCAAGGGGATCACATGACTCCAGGACACTGCAACCGTCCTAAATGTGAGTCAGTTTCCAAGCATCTGAATGTAAATCACATAATCATGAGGATGCTGCAATTGTCATAAGTGTGAAAAATGGTCATCGGCCACTTTTTTCAGTGACTTATGATTTCAGATTTCAGATAGCTGGGATTTTGTAGCCAAAACAAAATACTTTCTCTTAGGAACCAAGGACATTCTTACACCTGGTAAGGAAGGCATAGTGATGTCACTAGGCAACCAGACAATGCCATGATTGGACCATGTGACTGATTGTTTTGAGAAAGTGACAAACGTTTACTTTTAATTAGGTGAAAACTGTGGGAACCTTCAGAGTCAGTTTTCACCAGATCTGTGCCACTATGATATGTCCTTAAAGTTATTATTTGAGGAATCTTCCTGCCTTGGATTTTTGCCTGCTATGGGTCTATTACTTGGAACCCTGACACAGAAGACCCTATACCACTCGAGACAAATGATTGTTCAATCTCTTCTAAAAAAAACAACCCATTGTTGGAACACTCACAACTTCTGAAGGCAAGTTGTTCCACTGATTAATTGTTCTCAGGAAATAATATAAATTGGCCAACATCAACACAATTGATGGAAGTGCATCATCCTGCATCGCTTCAAGCAATATCTCCTTTTACCAATCCAGAACCTCCCTGAATTAATCACAATGGTCAAGACCTTTCCAGCAGTTGAGGGAGAAACAGAGAAAGTGGTACTTACCCACGAACGCCATATTCTCGTAGGTCTTCAACATGATGTCCCTGTACATCTTTCTTGCTTTCAGGCCTAACAGAGCCCATTCTGTTTTGGTGAAATGGACAGCCACCTCCTCAAAGCTCACCATCTTCTGAATAAGGAAGAAAATTGCAGCTTGTGTTTTATCATTTCGACTTTCGACCCTTTAAAATTTTTCACTACAGGTAGTCCGTGACTTACAACCATTCGTTTAGTAGCCGTTTGGAGTTTCAACAGCAATGGAAAAAAATGACATGACCATTTTTCACACTTATCACCAGCATCCTCATGGACATGTGATCCAAAATCAGACCTTTGGCAATTGGCATACAGCAATAGCACTTAGACTTATCTACCACTTCACAGTGCTTTTACAGCCCTCTCTAAGCGGTTTCCTATTTCCTTCAACAATCTGGCTCCTCATTTTACCCACCTCGGAAGGATGAATGGCTGAGTTCAACCTTGAGCCTGGTGAGATTTGAACTGCCAAATTGCAGGCAGCTGGCAGTCAACAGAAGTAGCCTGCAGTACTGCATTCTAACCACTGCACCACTGTGGCTCTTATGTATTGACCTTCTGACAAGCAAAGTCAGTAGGGAAGATAGATTCACTTAACCACTGTGTTACTAACTCAACAATTTTACTTAACAACTGTGGCAAGAAAGGTCATAAGGTGGGGCAAAATTCATTTAATAACTGTCTTGCTTAGTAACAGAAATTTGGGGGCTAAATTGTGGTCGTAAATCACAGAACTATCTGTATGTAATCTAGTGCTTCTTATGGGAATCCCCGTGTAGCCCTAACCTGATAATGGCAATTGGGGACCGGCAAGTCTATCGCTAAGCGACACGGTCATAAAGCACAATGTTACAAGACTAAACCAACTTACAACAGCAGCTGATGCTGTCTCAGTTGCCGTTTTTAGCCAAACCCTGCGCAATGCAGCATCTGGGGGGTGGGGGTGTCACATGATCTCCCTTGTTACTTCCTGCTGGCTTCCCCATTGGCTTTGCTTTTTGCAAGCCAGCAGTGAAAGATACAAATGGTGGATATTTGACTGTGGGACCCTGCAAAATCGTAATTGTGAACTGGATCGTAGTCATGTTACCATGGGGAAACTACGATGATAGCCACAATTACAAGGAGCCATGGTAAATCCCTGTCATTCGCGGCTGTAATAACTTTGCTGAACAAGTGATAATTCAATCCACAGAAATTAAGAAAACTGAAATACCTTAAAACATAATATAAACGTTTTCCCCCTCAAAAGCATGGGGATACAGCCACTGAAAAGGGTGGTATCAAATGCCTGTCTGAACTTGAGAAATTCTTCCAGTTTAAAGACCAACCAGGCAATCCGTTTACTTCCAAGTTATCTTGAGAAAGAGATGATTCAGTCCAGTTCGCTTATCAGTTTGCTCCATTTAGGAACAGGCTTTCTAATTAATAGGCCCACTTGTTTGGACTCCTCGGCACCCTTTCCTCTTTATATTCTGGGAAAGATGTAAATAAACCAGGTTAAGACATTCCAGCCTCTAAATTTAGCTCACCACGATAACATTAACCAATCCTGCTACCTGTGGAATTCTGGGAGTTGAAGTCCTCACTTCTTATAAAAGCTAAGGCTGTGAAACACTGGTTTAAACTCTGGTGTTTGAACATGCTACTTTTAAAAAATTAATGCTTCCAGCATTAAAACTTTTAAAAACCTAACAAACAAAACAAAAGCAAAAATAGAATAAATTATGCCCAGGGTTGCTGATACAGCTGCCAAGGCCTCCCCAGCAAATTTCTTACCTCGCCCGACATTTCCTTTAGAATTTATTTTAATTAAAAATGGAAGGATTTGGCTGAGTGCTCATAACTTCTTCAGGGTCTGTGAAGGCAAGGCTTGCAGTATGAAAAGCAGGTTGCTTTCTATGGCTGTTTGCAGGGAAGGAGTAAAAAATAAATAATCACAAGAGCAGCCACACCTGTGCGGTCCAAAGCCCACCCTTTTATGTGTTGTGATGCATATAAATGGGGAAGAGTTTTAACCACAGTGTGGCTGTGGCCATCTTAACATTCCCACATTCTTTCTTCGTTATCAGTTTGTATTAATTGCATAATAATATGACCCGCCCAATCTCTTGGTCAAATTGTAGGGGAAGATGAGTTCAATTGCAAATGCTGAGACATCTTCGGACAGTGCTGGCTCTTCGGCTTTGAAATGGAGATGAGGACCGCCCCCTAGTCAGAAATGACTAGCACATATGTGAAAGGGGAACCTCTACCTTTCCTTATGATTAGTAGG